TGCCTCTGCCTCCCGAGCGCTGGGATTAAGGGCGTGCACCACTACCACCTGGCTCTGACCTTATATTTTTACGCCTGTCAGAACTTTGAAAATGTATTAGCAAGCCACGAGTTTCAGCCAGTCCAGAAGGACCCCAGTAGACAGTGCCTGAGGCCCATAACAGAGATTGCCTTACTTTGCTGTGACTCGATGACCTGTGTTCCTACCCATGAGTTTAAAGGGTGTCTTGATTTATAATTTTCTTTTGTTGTATTCCTATAAAAAGTTAAACTGTTACATAAAATTTGGGGAAACCTGACTCTGTTCCCGGGTCATGGCCACTCATCTATGGCGCCAGAACAAAATATCTCTTATCCCCTTTGAGGTGAGAGCTACAATAAGACCCTGTTCCCATAAAACTTATCCACAACCCTCCAGACAAGCCTCCCACATTCATGGGGACTCTTTCCAGTGGTCCAGTATGTGGGTGAAGCTTTTTGCCACACTATCCTCTAAGGTATATTGTGGTATTGCATGCATTTGAGAGGCCTAATGTGGAAACCAAGAGGTCTTCCCATGAGAAATTTAGACTCAGAGCATTGTGCTTGAAAAATTAGAAAGACAGGAAGAGAGAGTATTTATTACAGTTTTATTTACACCAAGTTCACTTATCCTGTTTATCTATCACAAGAGCCAACCATCTGGAGTGGTTTAGCTTGGATCTAAATATTTCTCCACCGTTGAATGAGTTCCAAGGACCCGCTCCACAGCCAGAAGTGAATGTCTGCCCATTCCAGAGGGGAGCAAGCTCGTCTGGGGGCAGTGGCTCTGTCTGGCTAGACACGGTCAAGGTGACATCCCTTAGGCAGTTATCCTCCAGCTGCCTCTGTGGCTCAGAGCTCATGGCCAGTGTCAAGATCTGGAATCAGGTCACCTTGGGGATCCAGCAGCTGCTCTATCCAACCGGGTTGGCTCTGGGACACTCACTGTTCATGCTTTGGGAGCAAAGGCTCATCGAAGTCACTACTTATTGAGAGGTGATTCCACACCAGACACCATTCTTAGATAGGTCCCGTGACAATTCAATAATTGTCACGGTTCTTCAGGCAGGTACTGCCACTGTTCCCATGTGGAGATAAGGATGTTCCGGTGTGGAAAGCCTTAGAGTGAATGATGATGGGGGGATTCCTTTATTTTACTTGGGGGATATGTGTTATGTCCCATGGCCAGAGGACACGGGAGGGTATCAACTATTCTGTTCTAGTACACTCTTGAGTCAGGGTCTGTCACTGAACAACAGATGCTGAGTCAGCAAGCCCTAGTCATCCTCCTGTCTCCACTCCACAGGGTACTGGGGTTTTAAGCACATATTGTAGTGGGTAGCCATTCCAGGTTTGATCTGGAAGTTCCAACCCCCATTGAGGCTTTGGCAACTGTCACGCCTACAAGGCGGGGCCAAGGGAGTCGCCGAGAGACCCAAGATCTGGATGGGCCAGCATGCGCTCTCTATTCCTGGACCCGAGATGGTGGAGGTTGACCCAGCAGAGCTCCAGAGAACACTGCTGGACTGCGGTACACCTTCCCCAGTCCCCACGACCTACCTATCCCTTCATTTGTAAGTTTCCCACTAAGTAAATCTTCCTTTTAACTACATGGAGTGGCCTTGATAATTTCGCCAATACATATGGTCACACCTGGATGTTACATGGGTGCTGGTATCCAAACTCTGGTCCTCACACTTGCCTAGCAAGTGCTCTTACCCACTGGGCTCTCCCTTCAGCCCAGGGGTACCTTTCAGTGAGAATGATCTAGGCTGTGGCCATGGATGGGCAAGGTACACACCATAGATGCTACCTAGAAACCAAACTGACTTGGCCATGTGTATATTAATCGCCAAGAGTCATCCCTAGTGAGGACACGAGTGCAGACAGGGCAGCTCTACTGCCCATGTTGCTGCTGCTCCTGGGTGCTGGGATACAGTAGGTGCTCAGGAAACTGTCCACCCTAAGTGCAGGGTGGGAGGGGCTGCTTTCATCCTCTCTCAGCCTGGGTCACATCCTTCATGTGCACGCTTGTCTGAAGAAGGTCAGTTGTTGTGGAATACTGTCCTCTAGGCATGGTGTGCTTCCTTGAACTCTTAGCCCCTGTGATTACCCACAGGAGGCCTACCTGTACAGAATTGACCTTACTAATGGTCCATCTTGAGAGGGGAGAAGGGGCTCATGAGGCCTCACACCTCCTTGGATATATAGAGGCAGCAAATTGTTCCTGAGAGGCACACTTTCCTTTGGTGGTATAGCTACCCATAAGTTGCCCATGCTCCAACCCCTCACCCATGCTCCTATAAATAACCCCCATTAAACTCGGTGACCAGGTTCGGGCAGAATCATTTCTTTATATTTGTCCCTGGTGGCCTATTTGGGATGAGTGGACATTTGTTCAAATGACATCAGTGTCTCCACCTCTGCCCTTGCTGGCTTGACCCCCAGGACTGCTCAAAGGCACGAGTGTGGCGGTAGTTACGAGCAGCCAAGAGGAACATGGGTAACCTATATTGCAGTGTACACTATATTGGTGAATTTTCCTATGTCGTTTGATTCCACTGAGAAACTGGCTGTAGAAGTGGGGGTTCATCTCAGACCTAGGTGTGTTTGTCTCAAAGTGTCCTCCGAAACCTGGTATCTAGAAAAGGTCTAGTCCTCCTAACTCTGACAGGGATGGAAGAGAACAGCAAAGCAGCCCAGGAGGAAAACATCGTGTCCTTGGCAACAGCTAGAAGGTGAACCGTTTTCAACAGAGGTTACTATTGGGTATCCCCTGGTGTAAAAATGGCCTGCAGAAGGGAGAGAAAAGCTGGAAACAGTCTTAGGAACCTTAGCCATGGAGAGAAAGCTCAACTGGGAACTCCAGCTTCCCCAGCTGGTTCTTGTTGGGTACTGTGAGTACTTTTTTTTGATAATGTCATCTCTATCTGTTGCCCTATGTTCTTTTACAAGAAAGCCTCACCCTAGGGGACACTCTGCTCTGTCTGGGACTCTTTCTATTGGGAACTCCAGCTGGCTAACTTAAAGGGGGGTCCACAGTCAATGTCTGCTGGGTGTCTTGAGCACCTGATTTAATGATATTTTTCTATCACCTATCTATCTGTCTGTCTATCTATCTATCTATCTATCTATCTATCTATCTATCTATCTATCTATCTATCTATCTATC